CGCCGCCCTCCCCCATGTGCTCTCGGGGGGACTTTGCACCCTCGGCTGCTCGCGTTGGCCGGCAGCATTCTTCAGGAAAACATATCAGTAAGTCACTGGAGCTGAGTTGTTGAGATGACGTCTTAACTACACGAGACAGCATTTACTTGTAACGTTTTGTGAAAATGTGAAAACATGTCATTAGCTATTTCAGTCTTTCCTAATTTTACAAAGTTATGAATTTTCTGGATCGTTACGTTTACCGAATGCTTTACAAGCTATTTCATTTGTTCTCGGCTGGAACGGAGGCAGGTGGCTGTTACAGAACCTTTTGTGACGTAGATCCAAATTATATTTTTAGTCTACTTTTCTTATTTTAATGCACTCTCGCTTTAAATATTTATGTTTAAAAAGAATAATGAATGAATAGTGAGTACAATTAAAATTCTAATATTCTAAATACTTTTAATCTTAGATCTTAAAGATGAAAAATAGATTGCGTCCATAGCCTGCCCTGGGCGTTAGGTGTTCTCAGCATCTTCAGAAAGTGATTGTTGAATGTAGTGGAAAGTAATGTATGGATGGATGGTGGATGGATAGATAGACGGGTGGATGGATGGATGGATGGTGGATGGATAGATAGACGGGTGGATGGATGGATGGATGGGAGGATGGATAGATAGATAATCTTACCTTCAAAATGAGTAAAAATGAGGAATTTAGCATAGCTGGACCTTAGAACAAACCATCAGCTACAGAATACCTTTTCTCATGGCCCACGAACCCATCTGCTGCAAGTACTGTCCTTATTTGGCTAGCGGCGGCATTGCCGGGGTTGGGCAGTCAGTCACCTGGGCCTGAAGTGGGACTGGGAGGGCAGTGACGAGGAAGGCAGGTATAAAAGCTTGCTGAGGAGGTGGTGGAATCAGCATGTGCTGGGTTCGAATCTCCAAAGGTCTCGAGCATCAGGGTTTATGGTGTTTCAGAACCTGACATTTTTAGGGCCCAAGTCGCAAATTACAATAAATAATTCGAATTTAAGAAAATATTTAACCATTGTCCTGCATTTTGTTTTCCCCTTGCTGGAACCCTATTTTTTGAAAGAAGAGTTAAACTTTCAAGTCAGACCCTCCAAACTTAATCAGATCTTTTTAGAGCATCCCATTTTATTTGAAATATCTGCAAAGCAAGCATTCTCATATCGTGTGATTTTTAATTTCTGGTGGTGCTTATTTTTCCTTACTTTCATTTGTCTACGTCTGCATTGTCTACTGGGTTGTAAGGTCCCTGAGGTGGGGACAGTATTTGACTCTTTGATTCTCCAGTGGCTAGCCCCCGATCGTTAGGCATTGTTGATGAGTGTATCAGTGACGGAGTGGGCCGATGGTGAAGGTCATGACCGTCACCTGGCTGTGGCCGGGACATAAGTGTCCTCTCGGCTTCTGTATGCAGTATCCCATTGAGACCACATAGGTGGTAGCTGGCTTTCTTAGTCCTCCCTCAAAATAATTCTTATAGTAGGCAAACTGGGGAGAGAAAAGTGGAAATAAAGGAGCAGTAGGTGAGTCAACTAAAATAAAGATTTCACACTTGACTGGGTTACTTAGGTTCCCGCACTGTTGAGCATCTAATGAAACCACATTTCACTTGAGTATCTTTGTTTTGGTTTGTGTGTCTTCATGGCAGAACGCTGGTGTAAGGTAAAAATTCGTAGGGAGTGGAATCATCATCCATCATTTGTAAATTGAAACCTGAAGCTTTGTGCTGAAGACTTTTCTGGAATAACTCAGGCTTACCCCAAAGCTAAGATTGATTATTCCCTCTAGTATAGAACTGCTTTCTCTGTAGAGCTCGTTTTTGATCGTGTAAAATTCTAATTGGAGTTTGAATAGTACATGAGATACAGGCATCCATTTGCATTATCAAATGGACAAGTGGGATACTGTAAAACTAGTCCATTGTCACCTGACAGGCACGATTATTTCAAACCCTTGAGTTAAGTCAATTGCTTGGAATATTGGAGTGGAATAAACTAAAAGTTCTAACTGGAACTCAGCAGAAAGAATGTCTTGTTTATTTACAAGGACTAGACTTTCATGTTACCAGTTATGCATAATTTTTAAACTTTTAGTTTGCTTAAGTTACATTAATATTCAGTCCAGGCAAAGTTCTAACTAATCTTCAATCCACTTGGGTTTCAGGTGTTAAAAATGGACCGACAAGGCGTGATGCTTTCGAAGGCTCGCAGGAAGGCTGTAAGCACCTCGTCAGACCTCATGAGGAATCCGAAAAGAGAAGGAAAGGCCAAAAGGTTGGTGTGTGAAAATATTATTTTAAACTCTCCAGCGCTGCTACATCATAATGTTCCACCCCGGGTTAACGAAACAGAAACCAGTCCGTCCGACTTGAATTTTATTTTTTAAAACGATCGATTACGGGTAGATTGGAGCACAATGACATTAAAACTGAGAGCTGGCGAGTTACTGTGGACGGAGCAAGCTCTCTCCACGGCTTGGCCAGCGCGTTTCCTGCTGGTAACAAAGCCGACAGCTTCCCTGTTGTCTGTGCCAGCCCCTGTTCTTTACCTGCACACTGTGCGTGAACATTCGCCGGGTAGGAGGTGAGCAGCACAGGTGTCGTTCACCTGCGAGCCAGGTCCGACCGCAGGTGTCGGGGTGAGGCTTCCCATGCCGGCCCCGGCGCCCGCCCCTGTCCCGACCGACACACGCTCCTGGTCGGTTTCTGATTCTCATTACTCACCTTTGAGTTCGCCGCTCACCGTCCTGCGCCTCGTTTGTATGCGGCAGGAAAGTACAAGTGAAACCTGAATTCCAGACGGTAGGAAAGCCGTGCCAGTGATCAAGGAACACGGGACAGGGCCGCGGGTGGCATCTACACCGGCGGGTGGCGTCTACACCGGCGTCCAGCTCCCGCCGGGCAGGCCAGACAGACGCGCGCTGATTGTACCTGGGAGGGGCAACGCACACCTTCTGTGACAGTGGTTAAAAGAAGCTTGAGGTGACAGATTTCATGACAGTCAGTTGTAAGTGGTGGAAACTTAGGTCCCTCCACACGGCACTCTCCTGGCCCATCCTCGTCCCCATCCACCACAGCCTTTTCCCGAACGGGTCGAGAAGCTGTCATGCGTTGGGGCAGTGTTTCCCAACTCCGTTGCTGTCACCTGGCTCGTGCCCGCAGACCATCTGATGCTGTTTCGTAAGTCCTGGGCAGCAGGGTTTATAGAAGCCCCCTGCGGTGACTAACGTGAAGCCATTTTGTGCCTTAGGGACTTTGTTTAGCTTAAGCAAATAATTTATCCTGGAAGAAGAGTTGTTTCTAAAGCCTTCTCATATAAAGCAATTTCATTGTTTAGACTCTTAAAGGCAAAAGCCTAAAATCCTGATTGGTTTGTGTAGGGCGAAGTGTTTTAGTTAGAAGTGCACATTTCGATAACATTGTAGAGCGATGATGAGTGGTCGCGGCTTATAGTACAGACTAAAAGGGAGAGTGATAGACATTTCTTAAAATGCAATATTAGATCTTACAGATAACAGCTCGCCAGCACGTAGAGGTCGCCGAACGTGGGTGTGGGGAGAGGAGTTTGTAGCGATACCGTGCGTGTGAGTCAAGGACAGTGCTGTTTAGTTGCCTGGTGTCACACGTGTGCCGTGGAGTTGCCGGGTTCTCTCTGTGAGTCGAGTGCAAGTTTCTGATCTGTGACCTGCAGGTATGATGTTAGTCTTGAGGGTTACGATGGCATCTCAGCCATTGTCTTTTTTCCCCAGCGAAACCGAGTTCTCACCTGCTTGTTTCTTCCTTGTTAGATTTTAAGGCCACCTGTGTCAAAGTGAAATTTAAAACTTCTTTATATAGTCATGTTTTTATGTATGAGCATGTGTGAGGGGATGAGCACAAAACTTGTTGCTGTTTCCCAAAAAATACCTCGTCATTTAAGTTAAATGTTGGAAAAAGCAAGTGTCCAGGAATCCCTTTCACGAGCTCGTTATTAAAGCAGAGGATCGAGAACACTGCCGTCTGGCGCGTGGGACCTGCGTCGCTCGCTTCCACGGGCCGAACCGGTTTCACGCAGCCGTGATCTTTGTGTCCTGTGTGTTCAACCCGAAGGGCTCACACGGGTAACGTCCTCTCTGGGAAGCCCCGCCCAGCTGGCCTGATGACAGCCGTTAGTCCTGTTCTGGGTGACACGCGGGCCTCTGGGCGGTGGGCACAGATGCTGGTGCGTCCAGAGGGATGCTCGAGACCGCCAGCCGGTTCTTGGTAGAGTCTCGTCATCTCTGGTCTCCCTGGTTCTGCGGCCGTGCCCGAGCGTGGCCTTTGTCGCTGGCCTGCCGCAGGGCCGCCGGACGTCGTGCCGGCGATCTGCTTGGAGACCTCTCTCGGCCCTCCGCTCCTGCGAAGTCGGTCACACGTTGCCTTTCCCCCGACTTCTTCTTGTGTCCGTCCTTCGTAGCTCCTTATTTCATTCCGGAAAATTTCTGCTGGTTTTGCTTTCATTTCGCCTTTCCCATCTTCACAAGTCTCTGCGACGATGGTAAACTTAGATCCTGAGTTTCAAATTTTACTTACGGTGTTTTCCGTTCTCGTAATTCTATTGCATTTCTCTTTTAATCATTTCCAGGGCTTCGCCAGAGTCATTAGTCTTGTCTTCCATTCCTCTGAGCACAGTCGGCGTATTTGTTTTGAAGTCTGTGCCTGGCGACCTCTGTCTGGTTGGCTGTCGTTTCCTTGGTCTTCAGTGCATGCTGCTCTGATGTGCCTGGTTGTTTCTGAGGCATCTCCCTCCAAGGGTTGATATGATTGGAAGCTGGGCCTCTATCCCTGGGAGGCCAGCTGTGCCCAGGGGACACTGGGCCTCAGATGCTGGCCCACCTCTGACAGTTGGCCCTCCTGGCATAATCCACCGTCTTGGCGGCTCGGCAGCGTCTTCACGTGGCTGGTGTTTGCTTGTTTCTTTGCAGTCTGCCCAGCTCTCCTGACGGCTCCCAGTCCAGTGGGTGTCCAGGACTACGCAGCCTACCGTCCTGGAGATAATGGGCATGTTTTTACGGCCATTTAAAAGTAGAGACAGGATGAATCCTCTGTGGGAAGAGCAGCAACACACCTGGGCAGCAGAAAGGACTTTGACAGTGAACATTCCAGTCGTTGGCTGCAAAGGACACATTCGTATCTCTAAGGGCTGAAAACAAATGTAACGCAGGATTATTGCCTCTCAGAGCTGTAACTTCCATGAGAGGCTTTTTGGTGTAGTACCCACTTTTACTGGGAAAAGTCACTTTGTAAATTAGTGGGACACTATCTTTTTTAAACCTATTACTTTAAATATATGTTTATACGTTTGTTAAACCTCTTTTATCTTGAGAATCCAGTTAAGCAACTTAATTACATCCATGATCTAAGCTTATAATACATAGGTCACTGACAAAGATGTTTCTGTCATCTTTTCAGGGGAAGAAATATAAAATGTTATGACAAATCTTAACCTATTTGTTGCTGGTTTAATATTGTCAGACATAGAGCCAGAACGAGCTAACTATAAGATTACTGCTGATACTATGGTAAACACATGAAATTTCTTTCTTCAAAATTTTTTGTTTATTGTACTACTGTTATTTTTGTTGTTCAAAATATTATTATCCTCAGGAAAATTTTTTTTTAAGGTAAGTCATCAACTGGATAGTTTTTCCTAAGTGGCCGTTTTTAAATCCCATTTTGAAGCCATCGCTGCCAAGCAAGATTGTCCCATGAGAGGGCATGCTGTGGGTCAAAGCACAGAAATGTTTACAGCTGGCTTTCATAAGCTTGCAGGCTGAGAGAGAGACGGGGGACCAAATAAATACTTCTTATTATACAAGTGTACTTATTTTGTCAGTGGTTTAAAAAAGAAAAGATACTACGCCCCAGATCAAATACTTAAATTTCTACACTCTTTTATTTTTGTTTATTTCTATATTTTAATTACAGTTGACGTTCAATATTCTGTTAGTTTAATTACGTGTACGGCATAGTGGTTGGACATTTCTATAACTTCCTGAGTGGTCCCCTGATGAGTCTATTACAGTATTAGTGACTGTATTCCCTGTCCTGTACTTTTCATCCCCGTGACTATTCTGTGACTGCCAATTCGTACTTCTTAACCCCTCTGCCTTTTTTTACCCAGCTGCCCAACACCCCTTCCATCAGGTAGCCGTCAGTTCTCTGTATTTATGGATCTGTTTCTGTTTTTGTTCATTTATTTTGTGTTTTAGATTCCTCAGATAAGTGAAATCAGATCGTATTTGTCTTTCTCTGTCTGACTTATTTAACTTAGCATAATACCCTCTAGGTTCATCCATGGTTGTCACAAATGGTGAGATTTCATTCATTTTTTCTATGAGTAATATTCTGTTGTATATATTCACCACGTCATCATGGATTGATCACTTAGGTGTGGGTATGTTCCTGGGCTCTCTCTTTTGTTTCATTGATTTATACTCCTGTTTTTATGCCAGTACCATGCTGTTTTGGTTATTATAACTTTGTAGTATAGTTTGATGTCAGATAGTGTGATACCACTAAGCTATTTGGGGTCTTTTGTGGTTCCATATAAATTTTAGGATTATTTGTTCTAGTTCTATGCAAAATGCCATCGGTGTTTTGATAGGGATTGCATCGTATCTGTAGATGGCTTTGGGTAGTGCGGACATTTTAATAATGTTAATTCTTCCCATCCACGTGCACGTTATATGCACCTTCTTCAGTTGCTTTCTCCAGTGTCTTCTACTTTTACAAATACAGGTTTCTTGCCTCCTTGGTTAAATTTATTCCTAGGTGTTCTTTTTGATGAAGGTATAAATGGGATTGTTTTTTAATTTCTCTTTCTGATAGTTGTTGGCATGCAAAAATGCAACAGATTTCTGAATAGTAATTTTATATCCTGCTACTTCACTGAATACATTTATCAGTTCTAATATTTTTTGGTCGGAATCTTTAGGGTTCTCTCTCTATAGTGTCATGTCATATGCAAATAATAGTTTTCTCTCTTTCCAATCTGGATGCCTTTTATTTCTCTTTCTTGTCTGATTTCCGTGGCTGGGACTTCCAATAATATGCCGAATGACCGTGATGAAAGCGGACATTCTTATCTTATTCCTGACCCTAAGGAAAACACTTAGCTTTTCGCCGTCAAGTAGGTTAGCTGTGGGTTTGTTATATATGGCCTTAATTATGTAGAGGTATGTTCCCCCTCGTCCCACTTTGCCAAGAATTTTTACCATAAATGGATGCTAGATTTTGTCAAATACTCTTTCGCAT